GCGGAGCTTACGTGCGGAAGGAGACTAAAGAGTGGTCAATCTCCAACATCATTGACACTTGGGGGCCTCTTGGGGCCTCCTGGCCACCTCTTGGGGCCCTCTTGGGGCACTCTTGGGGAGCCTCGGGGGCGCTCTTGGGGCCATCTCGGAGGAGATCGATCAAAGAAGGGGGGGTCCCGAGTGAGCCCCCCCCTTAAAAAATGCCAAAATGGGGCCAAACCTTTAGTAAAGCCAGTGATTTGGGCTTCCTCGCCGAGGCCGTTTTGGACGCTCCAACTACCCGCGGACCCCCACGTCCAAGTCCTGGGGGGCGGGCAGGTGGAGGCGTAAACCCCTCCCCGAAGGGGAAGAGTGAGGGGTCGGGGTGGAAGACCAAGCTCCCTAAACCACCTTACGCCCTAAAGGGCTGGTGGGACTTCTCAGGAGGCATTCTGAGAGGGCCCGCCCCTTTTCACTTCCCCCCCTCGCTCGCCGCCGATCGGTGATACTGAGCTACGCTGCCACTGCTGAGCTACACTGTCAATGCCTCGCTGTCCTGGGGCGCTGCTGTGCTGTTGCTCACTAGAGCATTTGACACGCGTGCGGAGCTACACTGTCAATGGCACGCGTTCCTGTGGCTTTGCTGCGTTCCTGCTCTGAACGCACACCGCTGGAGGCGGCGCAGAGCTTTAGAGATTCATCCAACAAAATCTCCCATATTAGGGGAGCGACGTGAGGCTCGAAGTTCGAGGCTCGAGGTTTTCGCACGTTCTCGTAGGTTCTTGGACGTGTCCCAGCCTCGGGATGCGCTCCAGCAGCTGCGCCTCTCCGAAGGCGTTCCGTGCGTGTCCGGATCGTCCCGCACAACCGCGGGAGATCAGATGTAAGCCCCGGACACCGAGAGAAGTCAACGTTAGGGGGGGAAATGCTCAAGGGAAAACGCATCGACCCCCAAGCAGCCAGTGATCGCTGACAAGGGCCCGAAAGCCCGCCCAGCTCAGAAACGGGCAGTCTTCGCTATCGCGGGTCTATCGCCGATCTATTGGCGACGCATCGTCGACTCTACTTCGATGCGTCCCCCACTGAACCCGCCCCCCCTATCGTTGCCCCTTGCGCTGGTGGTCACACACGCTCATGCTGCTGCCTGCTCCTCGTCGTCGTCGTCGTGGATGACGTCGTCGTCATCGTCGTCGTCGTTGTCGTCGTCGGCGTCGGTGTCGACGTCGTCGTCGTCGTCGTCGTCGTTGTGATCGTCATCAGAGTCGGCGTCGGTGTCGGCGTCGGTGTCGTCATCGGCGTCGGCGTCTGCGTCGGCGTCAGTGGCGTCGGCGTCGTCGCCGTCAACGTCGTCATCGGAGTCAGCGTCGGCGTCGGCGTCGGCGTCGTCGTCGTCATCGGCGTCGGCGTCGGCGTCGGCGTCATCGTCGTCATCGTCGCCGTCGTCGTCGTCATCGGCGTCGGCATCTTCGTCGTCGTCGTCGATGGCGTCGGCGTCGTCGTCGTGGTCGTCTTTGCCGCCGTCGGATTTCTTCGCCGTCTTCGTCGTCGTCGTCGCAGTCGCCGAGCTTCGACTTCGTCGCCGTCGTCGTCGTCGTCATCGTCGGCATTGTCGCTGTCCTCGGCGGCGGCGGGGGATCAAGTTGGTCTGGCGCTCTAAACGACCTTTTGAATGTCCAGAGACCTCCAGACGCCTCCAGATGTCCTCCGAAGACTGCTCGCCGACGCTGCCATCGGTGCCGCCGTTGCCGTCGTCCTTGTCGTTCCCACACCTGTGGCGGATTGGTTCCCGTCAGCCCTGACCTCTTTCGGCCTGCTTTCGTCGACTGTCTGATTCGCGTCTCCGCCCTGTCGGCCTCTCGGGAGCGTTGCCCCGCACTGGGACCAAATCGCGGTCCAAGATGGAAGACTGGCCCCAAGGGGTCGGAAACTCTGGGGCCCGAGCAAAAAAGAACAAACGATCCGATGAAGTCTTCGCCGTCGTTGCCCGCGGCAGAAAATCCTACCAGCCCTTTGGGCGTGAGTGGTTTAGGGAGCCCTCTCTGTCCTCCACCCCCCGTCTTCCCCTTCGGGGAGGGGTTTACCCCTCCCCCTACCCCCTCCCCCTGGACCTGGAGAGGGCGCCCCGCGGGTGGTCAGGGGGTCCTTTTCGACGCCTGGGAGGGCCAAAAAACGACGACCCTCACGAGGATTCTCGCCCCGACGGGGGGATAGAGAAAAAACCCTCTCCTCTTCTGTGACGCCAAAATCATTGATTTTACTACGGTTTTGGCCCCATGTTGGCCTTCTGAGGGGGCAGCGCTCCTCTTCCTTGTTCTCAGAATCATTGATTTTACGAAGGTTTTGGGCTCATTTTGTCTTTCTCAGGGGGTAGCGCTCATTTGCGCTTCTGAGGAGGTCGCAAGAGGCCCCAAGATGGCGCCTTGATGTCCCCAGGAGGCTCCCAAGAGGCCTCCAAGAGGCCCCCAAGAGGCCCCCAAGAGGCCCCCAGAGGCCCCCAACAGGCTCCCAAGAGGCCCCCACGAGGCCCCCAGAGCCCCCAAGAGGCCCCCAAGAGGTCCCCAAGAGGCCCCCAAGAGGCCCCCAAGAGGCCCCAAGAGGCTCCAAGAGGCCCCCAAGAGGCCCCACGAGGAGCCCGAACGACTCACACCAGGGCGAGGGGCCCGAACGACTCACACCACGAAGAGCCCGAACGACTCACACCACAAGGAGGTTCCCGAACGACTTACACCAGGACGAGGCGCCCGAACGACTCACACCACGAGGAGCCCGAACGACTCACACCACGACGCGGGCCTCGAACGACTCACACCACGAGGAGCCCGAACGAGTCACACCAGGAGGAGGGGCAGCGCTCATACAAGCCACCACGAGGAGCCCGAACGACTCACACCACGACGAGGGCCCCGAACGACTCACACCACGAGGAGCCCGAACGAGTCACACCAGGAGGAGGGGCCCGAACGACTCACACCAGGACGAGGGGCCCGAACAACTCACACCACGAGAAGCCCGAACGACTCACACCAGGACGAAGAGCCCGAACGACTCACACCACGAAGAGCCCGAACGACTCACACCAGGAAGAAGGGCCCGAACGACTCACACCAGGACGAGAAACCACAAACGACTCAAACCACGAGGCGCGCTTTCTCTCCCTCCTCCTCCGCCTCGTCCTTCTCCCGCTCCCCCCACAAGGAGGATGTACAAGGAGGCGGGAGGAAGGAGTAACAGGGGAGATATGCGGGGGCAGGCGGAAACACGCCTGAAAAACACGACTGTCGGCACGCTTCGCAAGAGTTGCTGTTGAGAGATGGGCTGGTGGGGATACGCGAAGCGTAAAGAATTGAAGATCCCCCCTCCCCCGAGAAGGTGACAACGGCGATGGCCCTCAGAAGCGTCAAGGACAGCACACGAAAATCCCAAGATTGACCGAAGACTGCCCCCGCGAGGGCTTCCAGACTCACCTTGCAGGAAGGGGCCATAATCCTGTCGAGGTCAGCCCCCGGACCGCTCTCTGAGTACATCCCAGCCCGTCTGCGATGGCTGCCAGCAGCGTCAAGGACAGCACGCGAACATCCCAAGATTGGCCGAAGATGGCATCCGCAACGGCTCACAGACCAACTTTGGAGAAGGGGCCAAACTCCTGTCGAGATTGGCCCCTACCATGAGACAATAAATGTCTGCTCGGTCGTGGTCGGTAGCGGCCGACCGGCACTCTAAATCGGTCGCGACCGATATCGACCTATTCCCAAATAGGGCGCGACCGATCGCGACCTTTCGGTCGCGACCGATTCCGTCGGTCATGGCGGATACAATAATTCAAAGCAACATCGGTCGCGACCGATCTCGTCGGTCGCGGTCGAAAAAAATGGCACCCCGTGAGTAGGTAGAACCGCTGCCAAGCGCCCATCCCTGCCCGCCCTCCCGGGCACACACGCGCAACTTGTAGATGAAAATGCCACGTGCGCGCCCAATATCATACAGAACGAACGATGGGATGTGAACAAGAACGAGACGACATCCCGGGTGGGGTCCAGGGAACGATGTTCAACGGATGTTGGTATGCGCAGTGAGAAGAGGAGGACAAGTGGACATGTTGGTTTGCATTCCATGGCCCCCTGGGTTGGGCATCGAAGGTGGGAGCTGATGGTAGGCACTCCTTGAACCTGGTGCCGACACTGACCCCGTGCCCCCGATTAAAAAATGCCCCCCCACCTAACCCCTAACCCCCTTGTGTTGTTTATCTCTGGCCGAGACACTTTTGGTCGGCGGAGGGGGGCGGGGGGCCGAACCTCATTATCCACCAGGCCAAGTACCAATCGTAGCTGCAATATTCTCATATTGGGTAGCAACATTACCATTACCTTCGATGTTGTAGGTACACGTAGTGCAAATTACTGTTATTAACCGCACGCCCAAAATTATCGGGAGGCCGAGTATTGGCAACACATTCCGTCGCGTTTTGTGTCACGGCACGACGGGGTCTGGGCACATGCAACAGCAGCTCACGGAAGCTTTTGGTCATCTTCCTGTCGCCCACTAGCGCGCCCAACCGCGCGCAGAGTGGACAGAATGCATCTCTCCCAGATGGCCCTGTTGTGCGCTATTGGTCGCTGTGGGGCGTCTCTTGAGCGCTCTTCGAGCGCCACTGGCCGCTGGTGGGCGCTACTTGGCAATGTTGAGCGCTAGTGGGCGCTATTCGCCAACATACGTCCGATCCTAGACGGGAGGGGGGGGTCCGTGATTGCCTCTACGAGGATACGCTCCCGAGAAAGAGACAACCCTCGTGCTGGGAGGAAGGGGTTTGGAAGGTACACGGCACGACCGTGCAGTAAGCACCTTCAACCTACGCGGAATTCTGGATGATCTGGTCATTTCTCCCAAACTGGTCCTCCCAATCCGATAACTCCTTTCTGCATTTCGACCCCCTCCGAGCATCGCCGCCCCTCCCCCCCGAGCGGCGCAGCGGTCGGTGCGCGGAGAGGGCCCAGGCCAGCCGGGCGGAGCGGCCCCGCCGAGGCGTCCTCCCGCCGCCGCCGAGGTCGAGCGGAACGGCGCTCGGGGCCTCGTGCGGGGGTGCCCGCTGGCGGCTCCGGGGAGGCAGACGACCGAGCTTCCCAGATCTCCGACGATGTGGTTGTTTCAATCCGGGCGTGTTTCCTCGACGTCGGCCTATGGGGCCGGTCGTTGGGCCCCCGCCACCATGACAGTGGGATTTGGGACAGAAGCCGCCCCTGGAGAAGGGGGATGGGGGGAAGGAACCAGGCAACATGACCAGGACGGAACGCGGAAACGTGGTGCAGATCTTGGTCACAGTCCCTCCCTGGTCAGCGTCAATTCGTGGTTCGTCCTCGCGAACCGAGGACGGCCGACGTGGACCATTACCAAGATAGGCGCTGACAAAATCCTGCCACGTCTCTTTTTGTTCCCGAGACAAGCCTGCTCCCCTTCAGCTTGTCACCACAATGCGCAGCGGGGTGAGGAGAAGACAACTGCAACGCTCGTAAAACGGAGGCCAAAGGAAGTGTCCATCCCAAGGCGCACCGAAGAACTATCCAGGAGCGACAGCCCGCCATGTTGGTCATGGTCTCGGGGATCAAACGATGGCATAAAAATAGGGACTCGGAGGTCCGCGCAGATTTCTCGGATCGGCGCTGCCGCCACCAGCGGTCACCGCCACCGCGGCCGCGTCGGTCGCGCACGACTAGCTGGCCGCTGTGCGCGCGAGCCTGCGCGCGCTACCGCGGCTGCAGTGATGCGCCATCCAGCGCCAAGCAGTCATCGCAATCGCCGCCACATAGGCTTTTCAAACCAAGTTGCGGGTCGGTGGGCGGGATGATTGCGCGAACAGTGGAGTTGACAACTCAGTGCGAAGAACAATTAATTGCACCGCTTAGCTCACACCACAGATTACTCCACACAGCTTGCACCGCACAGCTTGCATCTACACGACATAGTCTGCCCCATTCTCTCCTTCGCTGCCTTGCAGTCCAGATTTCCTTTCAGGTCCCTGGAGAAACCATTAGGTACCTCTCCCCAGACCTCTCCTGGGATGCGTTCTGACTCGAATTTCGAAGCAAATCCAGCGGTGGCAACGAGGGCCTCCCAGGAGGCCCAAAAGGGGAAAGCCAGGGAAGGGTGGCGGGATGGGCACCTTTTCCTCCACTGAAGTCTCGCTACGATCCCCCCCCCCTCCCACCTCCATTTCATGGAAGGAAACTCGCCCGAGTCTACAGAAAAAATATTTCTTTCCCAACTTCGCGGGGGTCTCAACCCAGTCCGCGGGATCGCGTTTCCAACCCGAGCTCTTTGGACAACCTCGGGGTCCTGCGAGGGCCCTGAGAAGCCGAGAATTGCCCAAAACCTGCCATCGCGATTTTGCCACGACTCGAGAGGATGTCTGGGTCCACGGGTCAAACATCGATCCCCGGACCTGCTCTGGGGAGCCTCCTGGCCAGAATCTCGATCCCGATCCGGCCGCGGCGACGAAAAGCCTCCATGCAGGCCTCTGAAAAGCGAAAAGGTCCAGGTTCGATCCTTGAACCTCGAGCCTTCGAAAATCAAAGGGCCTTCAGAGCCTCCGGATCTGTGGCGGCGGATCAGGACGGGCACCCACAGAAAGCCCTCGGCGAGGCGCAGCTGCTGGAGAGCGTCCCAAGGCTGGAACACCGTCCAGAATCCACGAAAACGTCAGCAGACCCTCAGATCTGACATTGCGAAAAACTGCAACCCCGCATCAAATCACCACCAGATCTCCGGGCCATCTTTCAGGATCTATGTTTTCGAACCGGATCGATCAGTGGGGGTCCCAGGGGCCGAAACCAGGGGAGAGCGCCCGCTGCGCAAACACTGCAACGCCAGGATTCCCAGGGGATCTCGGACCTCGAGCCCCATCGTCGCAGCTCTCCGGCTGGGGCCGCCGGCAGCCTTCAGCGGGTCCGGCTGCTCGCGCTCGAGCGCGAGGGCGCACGCGGACCAGCGCGCGGGGAGGAGGGCGGCCAGGAGCAGGATCCGGGCCTGCGGCGCGCAGGGGGCGCCGAACCCGCGCGCGGAGCCGAGAAATCCGCGCGGGGCTGCGACTACGACGACGACGACGACGACGGCGGCGGCGGCGACGACGACGACGACGACGTTGTGGGGGTGCACTTTCCCGTCTGGTTCCCTTGAGTTCCAGGCCTCCCCTCGGCTGGCGACGAATAGGGCGGGGGGAAGGGCGCTGGCCGTGGCGCGGAGCCGAGACAACCGCGCGGAGCTCGAGGCTCGACGAGGATCGAGGATCGAGTATGGAGGAGGGGACGAGGATCGAGGATCGAGGATCTAGAATCCGAGGCATCCGAGAATCGAGGTTAGAGGAAGAATCGAGGATGTAGGAACCAGAGTCCGAGAAATATCAGAGAAATCCGAGGACCAGGGTTATGGCGGAAGAGAAGACGGCACAAAGGGAAACGTCGGGAACTCCGCGCGGACTTCTTGCATCCGCGCCGTGTCCCCCTCCCTGGCGCGTGGAACGCGGCAATGACTGCTCCAGAGGCGCCACCAGGGCTGGGGGCCCAGCTCGGATCCGAGAAATCCGCGCGGAGCTCTGGGAGTTCAACTGTGTGCAGTTCTTCCTTGCTCGATCGGAGATCGCGTTGCCAGGCTCAAACGCCAACAATTTGGAGACCGAGTAGCAATGATCAGGGATCGAGGGCCGAGGATCAGGGCTCTACGTCCGACGATCGAGGGTCGAGGTTTGGGGCTTGCGGCGCAGGGGGTGATGCAGTTCGACGCTCGGAGTTCAGGTCGAACTGCTACAATTGGCCCCTCCGGTAAGACGTTTTGCTGCCGTCGGCTCTGAACTTCGTGAGGTGCCGCAGGGCTCTGTTGGGCGTCCAAGGGCCTTGCATCTTTTCCGCGAGGAACGAAGCCCCCCCTTTTTGGTCCCCACGCCTCGTGGGTGCACGGGGAACGACACAGGAACAACCATGGAAGGGCCTGCGGAAGGCGAGACACTTCGGAACCCGAGCTGTCCCTTGTTTCAGCGTCCTCGCTCTATGGAAGACCGACGGCAACGACGCAAACGTGGTGGGAATGTGCTTGGGGCGTTTCTTGGCTCTCCTGGTCTCCTGAAGTCTCCTCGTCGCCACGGCTGGATTATCCTCGAAACCCTGGTCGGGAAACACTCGCGGACAGGTCCGGGGATCGATCGATCCTCGGGGTGTCGATGCTCGAGCTTCGGATGCTCGCAGCTCGATCGCTCGGTCGTTCGAGGTTCTGGGCGTTCTGCTCCCTGTCTGAGCCTCTGTCTGGGCCCATCGGGAGAGGCTTCTCGTCGCCTTCGGCCGGGTTCCCCTATTTGAGCCTCTGGGGGCCTCCGTTCAAGAACAGCTCATGGGGCCTTGAGGCAATTTCCTTGAGATTCTGGCAAGGCTACTCGCATGGAGGGTGAAGGGCGGTGGCGGGGCACGAAAGGAAATCTGGACTTCACGCAAGACAGGACTCGCTTGTACGTCTTTTCGGGCTGGTGCTGTTTGGGAAGGCGGTGATGCCATGCACTTGCCTGAGTCAAAGGGCAGCTGCCTGGAAGCCTCGGGAGCTCCTCTTGAACGGAGGCCCCCTCGAATAGGAGAACCTAGCCGAAGGCGCCGTTTGAAAAGGCGGCGGAAGGGGGGCGGCGGGGGAGTGTGTGTGTGTGTGTGTGTGTGTGTGTGTGTGTGTGTGTGTGTGTGTGTGTGTGTGTGTGTGTGTGTGTGTGTGTGTGTGTGTGTGTGTGTGTGTGTGAAAATGTCATGCGAGTCAGCGTGCCCGAGCCAGATGCAAAAAAAACCGCCTCCAACGAGACGGAGGAGGCGGACACCCGGGAGGGAGAGGAGAGAACGAGGGCACCGAGCCTGTGGCTCGAGCCCCTGGTGGCTGACGGCTCTCCGAGGGGCGTCCGCCCCGCTGCGTGCGGGCCTCCACCACGAGGGGTCTGCTGGCCAGCGCAGCAGGGGCGGCGGGAGGCACCCCGAGGGGGCCCCCAACCCCCCGACGCCATGGTTTCTTCACAACGTCGGCCCCCGGTCCCTCGGAGCCATTCTTGGACGGCCCCGAGGCCCAGAAAGGGACCCCCCGAGGCCGGAAAAAGAAAAACAAACACCTTACGCCAAGCCCTTTTCATGACCCGACGGGGCCTGGGTCCCGAGGGCTGGGAAGGGGCACCCCAGAGGGGCGCCCCGAGGCACCCCAGTAGGGGGGGGGGGGGTATCGAAGGGGGCGGCAGGCAGAGCTCGGCAGCGAGCCCGAGGGGGGGGGGGGAAGGGAAACGGGGCGGGCCTTCTGAGAAGGCTCGGAAGCCCCCTGGCCTTCCGAAAAGTTGTCTGAGCCTTCCCCGAGGACGCAGAAAACCCCCTCAGAAGGCGCGAGGGCCTTTGTGAAGACCACCGCCTTCGGGAAGGGCCTTCTCCTTCCCACTTCGCCCCCTCGCTCGCCGCCGATTTGCGTGCGCCCGCGGGCCGCAGCAGAGGCGGCGGGAGGCACCCCGAAGGGGCGCCCCGAGGCACTCCGACGGGGGGGCATCCAGGGGGGGGGTGATGCTGGCAGAGCGCGCCGCGCGGCGCCTCGATATCGGCCCTCCGCCGCGGAGGGCGGGACCGAGCGGGGGGAGGGGGGGCAAAGGAGGCCCCCATGGCCTCCAGAGCACCCCTCACGAGGCCTTGAGGGCCCCAGGGGCTCCAGGGGCACCTTGGGCCAGGAGCACCTTTTTAGCAACCACCGAAAACACCTATCCGTATCCGCGGCCTCGCGGGCCCGGCACCTGGGCCGCGACCCCGCGGACGCGGGACGTTTTTCAAAGGGTGCCCCACGAGGATCGTATCCGTGTGGCCGCTTATCCGCGGGATCGCGCCCCGGAAGCCAGACCGCGGATACGGAGATGTTCGCTGCTCGTTTGTCTTAAGAGATCGTTTTAAAAGGCTTCCTCGATAGGGGTCCGAGTAAGTAGCGTAGCGTCGGAGGATCGCGCCACATCGCCGATGTATCGCCGATGCACCAGCGGCGTCGACGCTGCATCGGCGACGCCAGCGCGGAGAACGCCGGGCTCCAAATCGAGCCGCATCGCCGATGCATCGGTGATGCGTCAAGATCCTCGACCTCATCTACTCGGACCCCATCTGGGAGGCCCAGAGTTTTACCATGAAACCAATTTGGCGGTGAGCCCTGGGCCTAGGGGGGCATGAGAGGGGGCAGGCCTTCTTCAAAGGCGGCGGGGCTTCTTAGAAGCCCTGGCCTCTGAGAAGCCGTCTCTGTATTCGGAGAAGGCTTGGAACACTTTTCAGAAGGCTGGGGGCCTTCCGAGCCTTCTGAGAAGGCCCGCCCCATCTGACGTCCCCCCTGGGCTCGCCTATGCGGAGATGAGGGTCATTGCCAGTTTCCCACTGAAGGAAAGAAGCACCAGCCACGGAGGAGAAGGAAAAAGATGAGCAACAATGAGATGAGGAGGGGCGAGGGGAAACCGACGGGCCAGCATCCCCCCACCGCCTCGTAAATGGTGCAAGGCCAAACCTCCGGGAACAGACGCAGTACGGATCCGCAGTCCGCGCACCAGCCGGTTTGGGGCAACGCTGTGGGCTCCGTCAAGAGTGCCGATTCCGCATTACAGGGGGATCGGGAGGACCTGAGGACACTCAACTTCGTGCCTAGCAGCATTGCAGCGGATAGGTTCTTGGTTAATCGGAACGTCTGCGGGCACCCGACGTCGTGAGATGTTTAAAACGGGGGCCCCCTTGGATGGCGGGTTATTGGGGCATCGCCGGGGCCACAACGGGGGAGATGTTCTGGCCCTCTGCGGCTGTCCTGGGCTTCAGGGGTCCTCATGCGAGCCTCTTGAGGGTCGAGTATCGCCTGTTTTGTCATCGCAGCGCGTTGCAAGCTATGTTCCCACCCACACGATGCGGCTAAGACTTGACAATGAACGCACAACGATGAGTCGCAAGTCGCAGCTCGATTCCCCGCTGAGACGCGAAGATGTACATGGCGGCCGCAAGCTCAGACGTGGTTAACACCCAAAAGCCTACCATAGCGCCACCGAGCTTGAGCTTGGGAAGCCAACTTCCCAGTGCCACGAAGTAGTCAGCAAAGGACCGCAATGCTATGAACACAACGTCAACGGAATCATCCGGCACCAACGTCGCTGGGTCTGCTTCCCTGCCAGCACGGGGAAATTGCGGCGACACGTGCAGGTCTGGAGGACGTGGCAGCACAGTAAACTCATTCAGCATATCGGCGCTTGGTTCCGAAAGTGCCAGCAGCACGCTCGCTCCGAAGTCGTTGTGAGCCAGCCGAGCTAGATCAGAGGGGTCCTCACCCACGATCGCAAATGTGGGCGAACGATACATCGAGAGAAGATGGCCTACCAGATCATGCTGAGTGCAACACGCGTTCGTGTACAGCCTGACACGAGGTGGCGGACCGAAGGGAGCAACAGCGCGCAGCCACTGGTCCCACATCACAAGGCGCTCGAAAGCATTTTGCGCCAGCTTTGCTTTCTCAGAAAACATCAGTAGATCACCAGTGCTCGAAATCGCAGGCGCAGCTCTGGCAAGAGGAAGTATAAACCGAGATCTGAACTCGCTTGGAGTGCCTGGGCGAACTCGCATCGGCCAATCAAACGCACCGTCTGACTGCGCATACCTAGTGTTGTTCCAGCGTTTCAGCAAAGATTCAGGCACGTCAGCTAGGTAATTGCCTTGAGGCATGCGCCCATGTGCCGCCAGGAGTTCGAGGTGGGCGCGTACACGAACCCACTGAAGCAAAACAAATACTCCATGAATAGATCTCTTGGTTGCCAGCAAATGGTCCACGTGTAATGTGAGTGCCCCAGGGTTTATAGTTGTCCACTGCAATCCTTCGAAGTCAACCTCAGCTTGCACGTCATAACCTTCGCAACATGACGTCGGAATCAAAGGACATTCCCCCTGGTATTCGGAATCGCAACACAAGCTCTTCTTAAACATGTAATCGAATGGGCATTGGCTGGCAATGGCAGCATATCCGACGACCGCCAGCGAGAAACTCCGTCTGATGATGACCATCGATCTCGCACGGTAACTCAAAACGAGCCATTGGCAGTGTCAAGAAGTGGCGCGAACTTGACACATGTGCGCAAGTCTGACCCGAACCAACTTCCTGCAGCCAAACATAGCTTGAGCCACACAGGGCCACTTGGGGGCTTCTTGATGCGTTGTTGGGAGTTCGTGGGAGCCTCATGGGGCTGCCCGGACTGTCTTGGGAAGCTCATGTGCCCTCATGAAGGCTCCTTGCTCTGTTTGGGCTACACTTGGTTACTGGAGGGCCTCCAGAGGCCCACCGACCAAAAACTTAATGGGAATAGAAACCAAGTCAAATAACGACCGCCGAAGAGCACTCGTAAGACACGTCAATGCTTGTCGTGTGCGTGGGCTCTCTGCAAGGCTCCCTGCACGCAACCTGGAACAGTTACGGGCCCCTCCTGGCCCATCTTGACAGCATGCCGGGGTCTCTCTCCCTCGGCACGTGAAGGTCTCGAGGGGGCCAACTTGCAAGCCTCACCGGAGTACCCTGGGACCTTTCCAAGGCCTCTCTCGCCTGTCAGGGCCGTCTGGGTCGCCTCTCGGGTGCTCTGACAACCTTACGCCGAGTGCTGCAGAATTCCTGCTGTCACAGCGTTCTGCGGCCTCCCATACCATCTTGTTGGAGCTTGCGAATCGACGCTCATCGACGCTGGTCGACGCTGTCGACGCTAATCGAGACTAATCGGCGCCAGTCGACGCAAAACCGGCGCTGTCCGATCGACTACCAGACGCCAATCGACGCATCAAGAAAGGAAGCAACCAAGGCTCCCGTGATGCAGAAACTGCCCGCGTGGCCGATGCTGGACTCTGGAGTGCCCCACCCCAAGACCCACTCGAGGGGCACCACCCTGACTACCAGACAAAACAGTACCACAGTACCGCTACCCCCCGGACCTCTCGAGGGGTGCGGTCTAACTAGGATTCCGACGCGAATTCAGCCGTGGCGACGAGGGCACCCAGGAGGCCCAGACAGGCGGAAACGAGGGAAGAGCACTGGTGTCGGTGCGTCGTTTTTTTTTGTTTTATTTTCTGTTGTTTGCTTCTTCTTATTATTATTCTTCTTCTGTTTGTTATTATTATTCGTCTTCTTCTTCTTCTTCTTCTTATTCTTCTTCTTCTTCTTCTTCTTTTTCTTCTTCTCTCTCTCTCTCTCGCTCTTTCATTATTTCTCTCTCGCTCTCTCTCCCTCCTGAGATACTGAAAAGTACGGCGAAGCCCTCTAGGTCGGGGAAAGAGAAGGGATCAAAGCCTGTGTTCGATCCAAGTCCCTGTAGATGGCTGGTGCGGGTCGGCCCCCGCGAACATTTTAGTGGGTCGGCTTCGCGAGCCCCACTGCCTTGCTGGCAGCGCCTCCGCTTCAAGCTGTGGCACTGACCAGGGTCGCCTTCGCCGACGTGGCCCCAAAAAATGCTGTAAGTGCTGCTGCGCGTTGCGGGGAGGCTCTCGTAAACACTCGGAATCTTCCGAATGGTGTCGGAGGGACTCGAGAGACGTCGGATGAGTTCGAAGGGAATTCGGCTCCACGGCTGACAAAACAACCTTTCTGTGTGCCACCGCTCCACGATTGCGACACTTACTGGTTCGGTGAGATCCGGGATACATGCAATAACTGAAATCACGTACGTTCCTCGGTACTTCGGGAAGGATATGCTACAAGGACTGCAAGTAATCGAATAATCACCACCTGTTGGAGTCTACCTGGGAGGGTAATGCATGACCTCATGTGCCTCACGACATACGCATTGGAGTCATTGTGAGAGGACAAAAAGGGAGGTGGAAGGTGTGATGGGGATGAGAGAGGAGGCAAGAGGAGAACAAGTGGAGGAGGACAAATACGAAGCGGAGCCAGTAAGAAAATGATCGGCTACCCTCTACACTTTTCATCTCCTTGCTCTCGACATCGGGGGTTTTGGGGTGCATGGGGAACGCAGCGCCAAGCCAAAGCCAGCAGCGCAGACGCCCCGAGCCGAGGGAAGACAATGGTCGGAAGAAGCGACTGGGCAGCAAAATGCCGCTGGAATGCTCTGATGGACGGCACGGTGGCTGGAATACGTCTCCCGTATGGTCTCCCTTCTGGTCTCTTTCATTGTTTTCTCCTACGTATTCCATCAGTGCCTTCTTTGCGAGTGCTCTCACTGATACGCCCCATTCCACCCTTCACTCCGGACAGTACTGTCTATAGTGGTCTGTTCGGTACTCTGAAGAGCTGTTCATGGAAAACCCAGATGGTACTGATACTGCTACTCCCCGGATCTCTCCCGGGGTGTGTTCTGACTAAAATTTCGAAGCGAATTCAGCAATGGCGACGGCGGCCTCCAAGGTCCAAAACGCGGAAAACGAGGGAAGTGTAGCGGTATGCATACCTTTTCCTCCGGGGAGTTTCGGAGATTCTGCAACCAAGGGTGTAATGGATATATGCTCCCCGCGACGACTGGAGGTCGTGTGGCCCCTGGGGCGAGACCGGAGGATGAGGAATTCGCAGATGATGGACCGTTGATCTCAAAGAATCGGGGGGGACGCAGGGGTAGGATAGCAAAGGGTAGGATAGAGAACCAGTTCACGTAATTAGCTGGTTTTCCTAGCGCCTCCAGGCGCCCATGTATTGAGGAATGGGCTCAGAGGCGGGGCGGGAACCAGCTGCATACAGCAGATATTGTACCCCCCCTTTCCCTATCCTATCCTTTCGTCTGGCCCGAGATAACCTGCCTGGATACGTAGTCGTCTCGGGAAACAAAAAATTGAATGAATGACTCTCCCCAGTGGCTCTCAGACGCCCGCGACCCAGACGCTCGACGTTGCGATCGACTCTCGACACCTAACCAGTGAACCACTTCACCATCCTGAATCGTATTCGATTTTCCCTGCAACAGAACTGGGTCTCCACGGGCCCAGCAGACTTGGGAAGACTAACCGTCTCGATTTTCCCATGACGCCCAGGTCTGAGCCTGAAGAAAGTGGCTCTGGCGAAACATCACGGGCGGCGAACATATCCATGTATCCTCTGCATGTGCTTGACGAGCCAGATGACTCTCGCCAGCGGGCAGCGATCTGTGTGCCGATCTCGCCGAGATACACACCACCAAGAGATATTGCACACGCACCTTGATACTCTCGGGGAAACGGTTCCACCAGACTCCCAAACAAGAGAAAAACACGATACATATTCCCGACGGCGGAATTATTGTCCTTATAAGGCGGCCCCAAAAGGGGGGCGTGGGGTGGCAAGACGCATAACGAACGGAGGCCGTGGGAGTCTTGAGCAACGATGTCATGGAAGCGGCCCTCGGCGACATTCGGAGGCAGACAAATCGCATGTGAACAAAGGCCAATGTATCCTCTGCATGTGCTTGACGGGCCAGATGAATTACTCTCGCCAGCGGGCAACGATCTGTGTGTGTGCCGATCTCGCCAAGATACACACAACCAACAGATACTGCACACGCACCTTGATACTCTCGGGGAACCGGTTCCAACAAACTCCCCAAAACGCCTTTTTTGTCCCAAAATAACACCTGGTATGCCGGAAAATAAGCCCACGCCCCAAGAGAAACCCGGCTAAAACATCGCCACCCATTTGAGGTTAGACAAGATGGCGCCCGCATAGAATCCGAAGATTCCGTCAACCAGTTTGCGGGGGTAAGGTTCATCTTGCTTAGTCCGATGCAGGCCTGACCCGTCGTGTCCCTGGAGACACGCATGAGGTCTTCCCGAAAAATCGCACACACTCCCGGAACACTTGAAGGGCAGGCTGGAGAGACAAACGTTTGCTGAGACGAAGCGGGCTCGTTTTTACCTAACAGCGAAGACTGATAGGTTTCTAGTGGTGTAAAAAGAGCTCACAGATCACTCCACAGGGGGGTCCGGGCAGGTGTTGGGGCGTTTCCGGGCGGCATGAGCCGGGCTCGTTTTTCACCAACAGTCACACACTTCGTGCTCTTCGCCTTCCCAGAACTCCATTCCCAGGCCACATTCTGGGGGGCCGGATGCAACTGTAGGCCACTTCGTGCTCTTCGACATCCCAGAACGCCATTCCCGGGCCACATTCTGGGGGGCCGGATGCAACTGTAGGCCACTTCGTGCTCTTCGACATCCCAGAACGCCATTCCCGGGCCACATTCTGGATGCCCGGAGCCAACTGTAGGCCACTTCGTGTTCTTCCATTTCCCAGAACTCCATTCCCGGGCCACATTTTGGATGCCCGGAGCCAACTGTAAGCCACTTCGTGCTCTTCGAGTTCCCAGAACTCCATTCCTGGGCTACATTTTGGATGCCCAGAGCCAACTCTAGTCCACTTCCTGGTCTTCGAGTTCCCAGAACTCCATTGCCGGGCAACATTTTGAATAGCCAGACGCTTCATATTCCTTCCGCCACAGCTGTGTTTGGTTCAGGACTTGCTAGTGACACTGCAGTCCTCTGCATTCAATTGGCCACTACATTCATTCACTGCAGTCCACTGAGTTTTGATTGCAATGGCGTTCCCCTGGCCGTACCCCCATGTCCAACGTTCATCCGCAGCCTCTGCTCCGCGAGGCTCGTCCGAAGTGTCGCCGCCTCGCGGTGCTTCTCAGCCTGCGCCGCCTCGCGGTGCTTCTCAGCCTGCGGAGGAAGGTGGACAGACGCCTGGTTCTGGCGCTGTGCAGCCTGCGTCTTTCACGGTCGCCTCGTTCAATTTCGGGTTCGAGCAGGGCATGATGACTGGTAAGCAGGCGGCCACTCACTGCGCTAACTTCGGAAGGTTGTGCGCCAAGATAGTGGAGACCGCTGATGCTGATATGGTCTGTGGCTGCGAGGTCGGTGCGTTCCGTGAAGGCTTTCGCCGAGCAGGGATCAACGTGACAGAGATCCTCAGTAAGCCTTTCGGTGATGGCATTCGCTTCTTGGAGGTCGACAACTACTTGACTCTCTGGGGGTTCCGCGGTGCTTCTCAGCCTGCGGAACTGACTCTGTGCGAAGACAGCAAAGTTTACAGGCCTCCTAGCGGCCGAGATATTGATGCTGTTATTTCACATTTTGAGGTGAACAAACCAGGCCATGACAAGTTCCACGTGGTGATCGCCAACATGCACATCGTGTGCGGCAAGAAACCGCCGAGCATCCAGACTCGAAAGCGGACAGTTCGCCATCTCCGCTTGCA